AGGGAGAAAAGAAAGTCCTTGACTGGTGAATAGGAGATGTGAAAGAGAAGTAAAGGCAAGAGTAATTAGCATTACAAGTTCTAGATAGGGAACTAGAAAAAAGTCAGAATGGGGTAATTTTCAAATGTTCATAGGAGAGTTCATTGGAGTTTCTTGACAAGGGTTCCCAAAAGCATCCCTCTATTGGGTTCTTCCTCATTTGTCTTCCAAGGCTGAACTAGTTGGCTGGGAAAAGTGGCTGGATACTCAGGCGAGGGTCCAGTGACCCTGCTTGGCACTCCTTTAATGAATGACTAGCTCCTAATTTTTATTTATTGATTTGTTTGTTTTGTAGTACTGCTGACTGAACCCAGGGCCTTGTATATACTGGGCATGTGCTCTATCTTGGGTCATGTCCTAGCTCCAATTTCCAAATTTAAAAGTCAACATTAAGTTTTTTTTAAATATATTGTTTAGACATTTTAAATATTTTGAATGAAATTATTTGACTGACATTTAATGTTTTCCCCCATAGTGGCAGGACTGTGGAGTAGTTAAACTAAAATGGCCGTTATAATCTGCAGCATATTAAAATGCCAATTAGTTTTACTTGCTCAGAATTATACTCTAATCCTTTAAATTAAAATGAACAGTATGTTTCATGCTAATGGCAGTAATTTTGTCTCTTTGAACTGAGTTTATAAAACATTTTAAATTTTATGCCACATTACTGATCAGTGTATTCAAAAGAGAATTTTTCCATACTTGGGTTAGTTAAGTATTTATTGCAGAGGTGTAGCTTTTTTTTTAGAACCTCTTGTATTAAGACATGTACAGATAAATTGGAATGAATGTGGGAAAGAACAATATGTCTGGAACAGAGCCTGAGATTTTGAGTTTCTAACAGGCCTCAGGGTATTCTAGGTACCTTGCATCCCCATTGTGAATAGCAATGGTTTGTACTACATGATATTGATTTACTGCTTGCAAAGTTTGACAACAGTTCCTAAGAAGAACGTAATTCATTCACATTTTTGTAAGGAGTATTAAAGTATGCTTCAATATCCTTACCTGCCTTGGTGTTTTTAGTTGAGCTTTTTCTTCATATAAAAGGGAAGAGAGTTATGAGATATTTACTTACTCATTGAACTCTGGGACTTAATTGTGATCTGATTTTGGAAATAACAGACTCCAGGGAAGGTTTTATTTTGATACAGTCTTGCCAATTCCTTATACAGTGAGTTGCTTTGTTTGGTTTTCATAGTTTGAAGAAAAGTTTATATAAGAACTCAACCCAGAAGCAGATCCTTACTACTACTCCTCCTTTCTTGCAAGAAGGGAAGGAAGTATTTTAATTCCTGTCTTGATCCTTCTCCATTAAAGGAATTGTTAGTAAACTTCTATTCAAACTGTCCGGCATATACAGGAGGAAGTGACTTTTCACAGTTAATGTCTGCCCTTTCTAGGTTCCCCAGAGCCACCTTTGCCATCTGTTCTGTCTCCCAGCAGGGTTGCAGCTCCACTGGCTCAGCAAGGAGGTGATTTAGTTGTCCCTTCAGGTATTCACTGCACTGATTGGATAATCGTCCTTGTTCCTGCTGAAGCTAAACTAACTCCATTTCATAATCACCTGCTTTGTGTTCATAGGTGTGCGTTTTTCTGGCCGTTATGGTTATGCTGGCTGCTTCTTTTTTTTTTTAAACAATAAGAGAATGAACTTTTGTAGCCATAACTTCTTTTCCTATCATTTCAAAGTAATTGCATTGCAAACCTGAAATTTAAATATTTAAAGGTTAAAAACATATTAAATATAATGTGCTTTAATTTGTTCTTTGCTTTGGTTGGTATAGGTTCACTTACTTGATTCTAACCTCTCAGCTTTGCAGTTTTGCCCAGTACTAAAAGGGGAGCCTCAACAGTTGTGATCTTACTGGGAATGGGGTCTTGTAAAAAAGTTGTATATTCTTGTCAAACTTGACCTACATAGTAAGTTTGCAGAATGCAAAAAATTTACTATATAATTTCCTTAGTAAGCCCAATGAAAAATACTTGAGGGAAAAAAGTCTATACCTTTGAGCTTTAATGTTGCTAGGCTATAAAATCAGGAAAATAAGATGGGCGTGGCGTGGTAAAACATGCCTGTAATCCCAGCACTGGGAAGGCTGAGGCAGAAGCATCATTAGTGTTCAAGGCCAACCTGAGCTACAAAAGGGGATACTGCCTCAAAAACAAAAAACAAAAAAAAAAAAGGGAAAAATGAACACTACATTTTTGTATGGGATGTTAGCATTAACTTTTTATGAGACTTTTTAAAATTCTTAGATGTTTGTTTTGGGGGGTTTTTTATTTGTTTTTTGGCATCATTCTGAATCTTTATAGTGAGGCTGATCTGGTTATAGGAACAAGTGGGAAAAGAAAATGTTCACTCACCCTGATTTTCTCGGGCGTGTGTGTGTGTGTGTGTGTGTGTGTGTGTGTGTGTGTGTGTGTGTAATCCAAAGGTAGACCCTTGGATGTCTTCCACCATCACTCTCCACCTTATTTTTGAGACACGATCTCCCACTAAGCCTGGAGCCCATCGAATGAGCTAGGCTGGCTGACTACTGAACTCGGGGGATCTGCCACCCCACCCCTATGCCTGTGCTGGGGTAACAGACCCACACCAAATGCCAGGCTTTTTACATGGATGTTAGGGATCTGAACACAGATCCTCATGCGTATGCAGCAGACACTACAGAGTAGGCAATCTCCCCAGCTCAAATATTAGTTTTTTGAATGAATATTTATTTTTCTTCAAATCATTCAAAATTACATTGTTGTTCTGGCCTATGTAATAAAGTGTAAAGACATCACTGAAGGAATTTTTATTGCCATAGATGGCTCTTTTTTTAGTCAATAGGCTATCAGATTCATTGTGAACTTTTTTATTTATTTTAAACAATATAGAAAAAAGTTCACTGCAGCAGGGTTAACTTTTAAAAGAGAGACAAACTATCATTTTTGTTTAGTAGACAGAGATTTTTTTGTGTGATTAGGAAATTATCTTCCATGATTCCAGGAAGTTCTAGTCCTTCACGTTGTGGGAAGCTTGTTTTGCTGTGTGAGTTGTTCAGCGTGAATAGCAGCAGTGTTCCATTTTCTCTTGTGCCTTGTCTTCATCTGGATTGTGCTTTCGTCTTTTGTTACGATTATGCAGGTGGCCAGAGAACACAGACAAAAAGTGGACCAGTTATTCTAGCAGATGAAATTAAAAATCCTGCAATGGAAAAGTTAGAACTTGTTAGGAAATGGAGTCTCAACACATACAAGGTTTGTAATTTTTTAAATATTTCCACCCTAAATGGCTCTAAGAATTTTCATTTATATGTTATTCACAGTAGTATATTGCACTTACATGCATATGTAAGAAAGAGTAATGCAATCTAAATAAGCATGAATATCTGATTTAAAAATGAAATATTTGTTCCATTATTTATCTTAACATATATAATTTGTTGTTATTGCTCTTGTTTTTGTATTTTGGTTTTTGTTTTTGTTTTTTGAGACAGGGTCTCCCTGTAGCCCCAGTTGGCCTGAACTAAACTATGTAGACCAGGCTGGCCATGAACTCACAGAGATCCGCCTACCTCTGCCTCTGGAGTGTTGGGATTAAAGGCATGTGCTACCACACTCGGCCTATCTTAACATATAATTTAATAGTAGAAAAGAGTAAGACTACTAAAATGCATAACTCTGAAAGATAATATACATATTTGAAAAAAAAAATACTGCAGAGACAAGAGGATTGCTACAAGCAGACTAGTTGAGTTTGGTCTACATAACAAGTTCTAGGCCAGTAGGGCTACTTAGCAAGACTCTGTCTCAACACACGCATGTGCACACACACACACATGCACACACACAGAGACATATCTTAGAATACATTTAACTGTAAGGCTGTTATAGATGTACTTGCTTCCTCTCCTTTTTTGATATTTCATTTACTCTTAAGAGACATGGTCTCACTTTGTGGCCAGCCGGGGTTCCCCTCCTGGGCCCACGTGTTCTTCCATCTTCAACCTCCTGCGTAGCTGAGACTACAGGCTCCTGCCACTGAGCCTAACCTTTTCTCTGTATTTTACAGCAACTGAAGATCAAGAGAGGCATATTAGCTCTCCAAAGTTTAAGATTCTTTGATCTTCTTGTAATAACCAAGTATTAACTGTACAGGCAGCAGTAGATTACAAATGAATTGGGCTGTAAAAGTTTGTTAACATCACTGTTTGTATTGCTTCAGGGTAATTGGTGGTTATTTTCTTTATGCTCTCTATAGAGCAAATAAACAAAACTTTAAATCTACAATGTATTTGGTGCATTACAAACAGACTAAGCCACAATCTACTTAGTACTTCTGAGTCTTAACAGGGATCAGACACTAGAATTCATGGAGAACCTAAGATGGAAGACCCGGCAGCTCAGGATGCAACACGAGCTGTAGCATTCTGTATTTTGAGTTCTTTGTGGGTCTAATGGTTGGCAAATCACATCTGTCAATATTTCTACACATAGCACATCTCTCATGTATCTTCTCAAGGATAAAGCAGAAAGAAATTATGCTTTCAGTTAATAGTTTTAAAATATAAACTGGAATTCTCTACAAAAGTGTAAGTTTTCTTACAGTGTGGGGATTGAACTACAGGTCTTGCATGTGCCGGGCAAGTACTCTACCACTGAGCTATATCCCCAACACAAGTTTTCTCATAAGGATAATAGTGCTTTGACATGTGCTACATGAATCTTTCCAGAAGTTATTTAGTTTGTGTCAGCACAGGACCTGAGGAATACCAATGATAGTCTTCAAAAAGTGATGTCTACTTAAGCTGTTCTTCTAATGCAGGGCATTCTCACAAGTCCTTGCCCCTCCATTCTCAAGGATGGGGGTGTGCCCTCCCATGTATGATTTTTGCCTCTGTATCTCTAACATTACAACCACTGGCCGGAATAGTCACAATCCCCACCCTGTCTTCTTGCTGATCCCACATAGCTAGTCAGTCATTAAGTCCTATGGAATCTGCCTCCTTGGTTTTCTTTTACATTTTCTGCTTCAGCTTGCACAGCCCTAGTTCATGTCTGTGATGCTCTGTCACTATTGTTACAGCTTCTCAACCAGTTGTCTTGGATTATACCTGCCTGGTATGGTCAGTGTTGGCTTAAAATCCCTCAGCAGATCCCCATTGCCTTGACATGAAGCTGTCCCCTTGCCCACCTTTCTCACTTTATGTCTTACTGCTTCTCCTGTCTGCAGATCTGATCCATGCCTCATTACTCAGGATTCTTAAGCATTCTGCCGTTGCACTTTTCTGTACTTTTCTTCATAAGGGTGTATTTGCCAGCTATTTGGAATTCCCCTCCACTTCAGTTGTGTACCTTCTGTAACATATTGAGCTTCTTTCATTTATTTTTAAAATGCACTTTTATTTTTTTAAACCTTTATACTGTATGAAAGAAGCGTCATTTTCTTCAGAGTGACCATTTTGCTTTTTATGTGGAAAATCAACTTAATTTGGACATTCTAGCCTGGGTTACAAGAGAGATAGGAAGTTCTGACTTACATGGTTTTATGGAGCCTGTAGTCAGTTTGTCTAGGTTGACAGCCTTCTCAAAGAATATGGTGGTCTTTATGGACTGCATAACTCTCTTTTGACCTTTTTGGTCCAAATTGTAGCTGATGTGGTCGACCATTGTCATTGGATAATGCTTTATGCACCTTTTCTGGGATAGTTGAATTTAAAACTGTGCTTGTTAGTCATACTACTTTAGAGTTTCTGGCCATGATTTTGATCCTGACCCCTTCATAATTTCTACCTTTAATATCTTCTGTTTGGAGCCAGGTGTGGTGATGCACACCTTTAATCCCAGTACTTGGGAAGCAGAGGCAGGCGGATCTCAGCCAGCTGGGCCTATAGGGAGACCCTGTCTCAAAAAAGATCAATAATAATAATAAAGATAATAAAAGATAAAACTACACTTGTATTTTTAAAAATCTTCTATTTAAGCTTTTCTCTAAAGAGAATTGTTTTTAGATTTTTTTATTTATTATTTTTATTTTATGTGTATTCGTGTATTGCCTACGTGTAGGTAAGTGCACCCATGTTGTGCATTGTCCGCGGAGGTCAGAAGAGGCTGTCGGGTCCCCTAAGAATGGAGTTAACGGACAGTTATTAGCTGCCATGTGGGTGCTGGGATACGAACCCAGGTCTTCTGCAAGAACAACCAGTGTTCTTAACTGCTGAGCCATCTCTCCAGCCCCTAGCCAGCCCCAATTCTTAAAGATTTTAAAAATGATTTAAAAAAATATTTGTTTCATTTTATGTGTATATGTATTACCTGCATGTATGTAAGTGCACCCATGTTGTACAATGCCTGCGGTGCATCAGATCCCCTGGAAATGGAGTTACAGACAGCTGTAGCTACTATGTGGGTGCTGAGAACCGAACCTGGGTCCTCTGCAAGAGCAACCACTGCTCTTAACTGCTGAGCTATCTCTGTAGTTTTTTAAGAATGATTTTTAAGTAGAATTTGATATTAAGGAAAGATATCAAACAACTCTGAGTGAGTATCTGTTTTTAAACAGATTTCAAGCAGGGCAATATAGCAGGATACCCTTGTCTCCAAAAAAATTAATAGATTATAAAGGAAGAAAAAATAAAAACAGACAAAAAAAATACATAACAAGGCACACTATTCCCAACTATTTCTGCAGGTAAGATTAAATAAAAAGATTAATTCTGGATTCAAAATTTTTGAATAATATCAGATAGATTGCAATACTATTTAAGAAGATGGTGAATTCAAGAACTAACTTGAAGTTCCTCCTATTTGCTTTTTAACCTTTTTTTTTTTTTTTTTGTAGCATCTCAATTTTAGCATTCAGAGTTGTTGGGTACCTTTCTTAAATACCAAATACTATATACTGTTTTCGGGTCTTCAGGGATTTTCCATTAGCACTCACACCCTTATTAAATTAATCTTCGCTGTCTTTAAGCCAGTGTCTTCTAAACTCTTGTGCCTGTTTTTCTTGTCATGTTGCCTCATTCCTGTACTGGCTGACCTATTTCTCCTGTTCAATTTCCTTTTTATGCTTCCCTCTCTGTATTTTATCTTACCAACCTTTCTTTAATCTGTCAGTTGTTGCTATGAATTTATTCTTTTGTACTTAAATGTCTGTTATTTTTTTCTCATCACAGAAAAGTTCTTTGTGCTATTTAAATATTCAGAGCTCTCAGTGACTATCTTATATGTTCATGAGCCAGTAGGATGGTGACTCCAGATATTCTGTGTGTCTTTTACTTCATCCACCTTCCTTCAGGTAGGAGATCTGTATAGGTTAGTCATTTGTTTTACCTTTCAACTCCTTAACTTCCCTTCATTTGGAAGTCCTTGTCTTCTAAGTAAATTCTTAATTTATTTGGGAAGTTTAATCTGGCTTGTTTTAAGTGGTCTCCATTTTTAAGGACTTTGAGAAAGGCTACAGAAATTAGATTCTCTTCTTTAAGCTTGCTTTGTAATATATTCTAGTTTTCATTTTTGCATTTTAATTTCAGTATGTTTCAGGAATCAATTTAAATAAAAATCCTGTGTTACAATCGGGGTTCTGTCAGAAACGTCCTGAGGCCCAAGATGAGTGGTGAAATGCCTAACAAGTTCCCACCTTCTCACCGCAGTTTCTACAGAGCTGTGTGGCACAACCTGCAGCACTTTGGTTTCTAGATTATTTAGTCTTTCCTTAGTGCTGTACAGTTACTTCTAAAAGAATATATGCTATGTAAAGTCAGTTCAAAATGTATTTAATGTGGGGCTGGAAAGAGGGCTCAGAAAGAGTGCTGACTTCTCTTCCACCCAATGACAGCAACAACCATACATAACTCCAGTTCTGGGGGATCCGAGGCCCTCTTCTGACCTCCATGGGCAGCCACTGCATGACATGGGTGCATTTACATACATATAGGCAAATATTCTTACACATAAACTAAAATTGGGGACTGGAGAGGTAGCTCAGTGGTTAAGAGCACTGACTGCTCTTGCAGAGGATCCAAGTTCAATTCCCAACACCCATGTGATGGCTAACAACCATCTGTAACTCCACTTCCAGGGGATCCGATGTCCTCTTCTGACCTCCACAGGCACTGCATGACATGGGTATGCTTGTATACATGCAAGGCAATACACATACAAATAAAATAAAAATAGTAAATAAAATATATTTTAAATTATTTAAGGTGTCCAGACTTACCTGCTTGCCTCATAATCAGTATCTTACTCTTCTTACTGTCTTAACTTCTGGAAAACATTTCTTTATTAGCCCTTGATCCAACTATGTGCTTGTGGACATTTCTTTTTAAATGATCACTTTTGTAATAGTAGGCATTTCATTTTGTCCCTCCTACAAACCTCAGTCAGTGACTTCCTACTTCTTGACTCTCTGCAGATTACCATATCTGGGTTGCTATGGAAAATACTACATTCTTTGCCTTGTTAGAAAAAAAAAAAAAAAAAAAAAAAAAAAAAAAACAAAAGAGAGAGAAACATACGCTCCTATGAGCCATTTATGGGTTCCTAGATCTCTGTGAGTTCAAAGCCATCCTGGTCTACATAGTGAGTTCCAGGCCAGCTGGGGCTATAGGGAGACCTGTCTCAAAAAGAGCCCCCCCCCACCAAAAAAAAAAGTTTTTTTTAAAAAGTAAAAGTCTCTGGTAGGGGAAATCTGGTCTACAAAAGTGGGGGGATGAGTGATATATCTCTTTTATCTTGTTACCATTTCAAACATTTCCTGTTGTTGTTTTTCTTCTTAAAATCACAAATGTTGCTCTTATAATTTTCATCTTCTAGAAATGTTTATAATAGTTTTTTTAAGAAGGCTTTTTTTGGAAGAAAGATTTCTGTTTATTTTTATTTTATGATAGGGTTTTGCTTGCATGTATATATGTAAGTGCACCTGTGTCATGCAATGCCCATGGAGATCAGAAGAGGGCATCATATCCTCTGGAACTGAAGTTATGGGTGGTTGTTAACCACTATGTAGGTGCTGGGAACTGAACCCAGGTCCTCTGCAAGAGCAGCCAATGCTTTTAATTGCTGTGTAGTCCTTTTAGCCCATTTATAAGTTTTTAGATGACATTTTATATGCTTATTTTTACTTAGGGGTGTGTGTGTGTGTGTGTGTGTGTGTGTGTGTGTGTGTGTGTCTCCATAGCATGCTTGTGGAGGTTAGAGGACATCTTATTCATGTTGCTTCTCTCCTTCCATCATGCCTGTCCTAGGGAATCAGATTCAGATCATCAGGCTTGGCAGCAAGTGTTTTACCCACTGAGCCATTTGTGGCGGCATTGTATGAAATGGGTGTACTTACATACATGCAGGCAATACACTCATACACATAAAATAAAAATAGTAAGAGGCTGGAGAGATGGCTCAGCAGTTAAGAGCAGTGACTGCTCTTGCAGAGGACCTGCGTTCGGTTCCCAGCACCCGCATGGCTGCTAACAACCATTTGTAACTCCAGTTCCAGGGGGATCTGATGCCCTCTTCTGACCTCTGCAGGCATTGCATGACCTGGGTGCACTTACACATATGCAGGCAATATAGTCATACACATAAAATAGAAATAATAATAAATAAATAAATTGTAAATATAAATTTTAAAAAATAATAAATAAAAATTATGACTAAGAAACTTTTAAATGTGCTCTGAAATAAGGTGCATTAAAAACTATATTTCTGGAGTAGACTAGAGTGACATAATTTAGTAACATGCTGTTTGAGCAAAAGTACAAGAACTCAGGAGTCATGGTCTTTCTTCCCTTTATTCCTTTCCTCTTTCCTTCTTTTTTCTGTTTCTTCTCCATTCTTCCTTCATACAAATATGGTAAACTTGAAGTATGAGTACATGAAAAATTCATCTGGCAATATGTAAATTACTTAGATACATCTTAAACCATCCTCTGAGTAAGGCCAAGCATGGTGGTGCACACCTTTAATCCCAGCACTCTGGGCGACAGAGGCAGGCAGATGTGAGTTCAAGTCCAGCCTGATATACATAGCAAGTTCCAGGCCAGCCAGGGCTGTGTAGTGAGACTCTGTCTCAAAAATAACAGCCACAAAACTCCACCAGCACATACGAAACTTCTGATTTGCAGTGCTTGTTTGATAGGCCTGGTAAGTATCCTTTTTCAGGACTGAGAAAAGGGAATTTAATTTTCAGTTTGTTAACTAGCTCGTTTGGAGTGAAAAACTGGTATGTGCCATATAGTGTAATATTTTGGATTTCTGTATTATTTTGTTCTCTTAGTTTTCTTCCTAAACAAAGTACATTTTCCCACTTTTAGTGCACTCGGCAAATTATATCAGAGAAACTGGGCCGTGGCTCAAGAACTGTGGACCTTGAACTTGAAGCTCAGATTGACATATTAAGAGATAATAAGAAGAAATATGAAAATATTCTAAAATTGGCTCAGACATTGTCAACACAGCTTTTCCAGATGGTGCACACCCAAAGGCAACTTGGAGATGCATTTGCTGACCTGAGTTTGAAGTCTCTAGAACTCCATGTAAGATTATTTAAATAACAATTAGGAGTTGGGGTGATGGGTGATATAATAGAAGTAATTTGTTAAGGTTATGATTTGCTAAATTCTAATAAAACTAAGAGTTTTTTGTGTTTGTGCACTGGCATGTGCAGTACCACTTTGTGAGCATAGTGACCCATTTGTAGTCAGGAACTGGAGATTCTAGGAGAAGCATGTTGGTGAAAGAGAAGAGAAAGATTGCCCAGCCTGCCCAGGCTGAGGAAGAATCGTATAGTTACTTGCTTCAGTGGATATGTGGTCTACTTTTACTAAAATTATTAAAATAAATTATGAACTTTAGGGCTGGGGTTGTAGCTCAGAGATGGAATATATGTTTAGCATTTCTCTAGCACTGCAAAAATAAATTATGACATTTAAATGGAATTATTTTTCAGCATTTTTCTCAGTAAGTGTTCAGCAAAACATTTTTTGTTGTTTTGCTTTGTTTTGTTTTTGTTTCAGCCTCTAGCCCAGGCTGACTCCCAACTCTCTCTGCAGCCAGGGATGACTTTGAACTTCTGATTGTCCTGCCTCTACCTTCTGAGTGCTGGGATTTACAAGCATGTACCACCATGCTTGGTTTATGCAGTGCTGGGGATCAAACCCAGAGCTTCATGTAGGCACTGTACGAACTGAGCTACACCCCCAGCCCAAGAAAGCATTCTTAAGAATTTCTGTTCATATCTTGTGACTCTTTTGATGTCTGGGTGTTTATCTTGCCTAGAGCAAAAGATATAAATCTTTGTCTACAGACTTCCAACTTGAAGAATTAGATAATTTAAAGCATTAATTGCTTAGTCCTAGAAATTGAAATGAAAAGATTTGATATAAATAATGATATATATCATAATGAAAAATACAGAAAAATTCAATTTTACATGAGCCATTAGACCAACAGAGTTAGCTATAGATTAGAAACATAGATTTATTTCTGGGGTCTCTCTTCTACATTGGTCTATATGTTTGTTTTTATGTGGGTATTATAATCTCACATTTAACAACCTTTAGTCCTGGGATTGTGTTAGCCTTCAGTCTTTATAATGTGTAAAATACTCCTATGCAGCTGAGAACCTTAAGAAATTGACTTGTCATCAACTGAAGCTTGTCATTTTATTTATGGTGTAAAACACTTATTTATAACATACACACTTACATATTCATTTCTTCCTTGTTAGTGCTCTAATTATTTTATGTGAGCTTTCAAATCACATATTAAAATCCTAAGGTGACCAGGTGTGGCAGTGCATGCCTTTAATCCCAGCACTCAGGAGGCAGAGGCAGGCAGATCTCTGTGAGTTCAACGCTAGCCTGATCTACACCGTGAGTTCCAGGCCAGCTGGGGCTACAGGGAGACCTTGTCTCAAAGGGACCAAATAAATAAATTAAATAAATAAATAAATTCCTAAAGTGTTTCCCCCTTCACCCCCATCACTAAAGAACAAACTTAGGGCCTTTCACGTGCTGGGTAAGTAGCCCACCACTGATCTCTGTTGCTAGCCCTAAAATGTTTTCTTTTTTAATTAATTTTTTATGTTAACATACAGAGTAACAAGTTTCACTGTGGCATTCTTATACGTATTTATACTTTGTTCTAATTGGTCCCCTTCTTACCCTCTCCCATGTTCTTTCCCCTCCCTACCCTTAAAATCTTAAGCTTTATGAACATTTTCTTCTTAGAATTATGGGCGACATTTAAATTCTTGAACAGAACAGTCACTTCACCTCACCCGCCTGCCTCCTTTGACTCTTCTCATATGTAAATTTAGAATTCCAGACTTTGCTATGTAGCTTTCCAGTTTCTGAAATTTCATCTCATTGTACTCTGGTTTGTTTGCTTGTTTATAAAGGAACAGCCTTCTGGGTTGTATGTATTTCCCCAGGGTTAAATTAGAACTTTGACATTTTTCATAGTTAATAATGTGAATTGTGGATCAGAGCTTAGAAATGAGCACAGTATTACAAGTGATGTTGTAATAGTCCATACTTTCTTACACAATAAGTAGTAAAGGTTTCCTTTTTATCAACTTTTATGCAAATCTAGTTTTCGTAGTTTTCTTCCTCTTATTTGCTGAGCTCTTTATATTGTCTTTTATTTCTTAATGAATGTCAAAGCAAATAAATATGGCAGTAGTATGCAAACATTGTCTAGAAGTTATAAAACTTTCTATCCTATACTGTCCCATTTCCAGTACCATTTATTTACACTTCCCATGTAATTTAGCTTGTAGAAAGTGCCAGAAACCTTCAGCTGCCCTGCCTTTCTTTATAGATCCATTATCCTGCCATTCATTGATTGATACTGTTTATAGTTTGTTTGTTTGTTTTGGGAGAGAGCCTGCTGTGTAGCCCCACCTGGCCTTAACTTGAGGCTGTTCTTGTCTCACCCTCCTGAGTGTTAGGGTTATAATTGTGCAGTACATTAAATTTTCATCTTCTAGTTACCTTAATTTTACTTTTTTCCCCCACTGAAATTGAAGTATTTTATAGCAAGCTGGAGAATTCAAGTTGAATGATACATCTTGAGTAAAATATGATCACTATTTAAGGTCAGGTGTGTTCTTGAATAGGCTATGAATGAATGAAGCTTAGACTGGGAAACTTGCATTACTGAGCATTTAGCATGTGTTCTTGCCAGAGCTGAAGGAGTTGTATGAAATGTTTGCTGAGCTAAGAAATCGTGTTTTCAGAGAATGAACTAAATCTGGTGTTGAGTGATCCTTCCTCAAGACCTGTGTGCCTAGATAAACCTAAGCTTGGGAGCCAACTGTCACTACATTTACAAAGAAGTGTGTCTTGTTAATATTTATACTTTGAGGAGATTCAGTCAAAACACAAAAAATTGTAATCTATTTTACGTCTGAAAGTTTTAACCAGTTGTTCCCTAATTTGGTTGTGAAAGTTATAGCTTCTCTGATTAATAATCTGCTGTATTTTTCTCTTACAGCTGTGCTTACAGTAGAATAGAAACAGATGTACAAACTAAAATACTCTTTCAAGTGCAAAGTAATTTAACCTTTAAAATTGTTTAGACTTAGCTGTGTATCTGGGCTGATGATAATTTTGGTTTACTAAACTTTTGTTAATTATATATCTAGCTATGATTTAGATCCTTATATTTAAAGATTAGCAGAAAAAATAAAACTTCTGTTGCTAGACTTCTAAATCAAATATTTTCCTATTGATATCTGTTCAAGGCTTTCAGAGTCTCGTCTGCTAATTTATTAATGGATAAGTTAAGATGACTTCTTTGTTTTAGGAAGAATTTGGCTATAATGCAGATACCCAAAAGCTGCTGGCTAAAAATGGAGAGACTCTTCTTGGGGCCATTAATTTTTTCATTGCTAGTGTGAACACCTTGGTGAATAAAACAATTGAAGATACACTGATGACTGTGAAACAGTATGAAAGTGCCAGGTGGGTACCATCTTTCTACTGCCCGTTTCACAGGTGACATTAATTTGATTATGATTTTTGGTTGCAAATGAGAAAACGGCTGTCCAATGTGGGCAGTTAAAGAATGTACTAGAGGAGCAGAAAGAGATGGTCCAGTGGTTACGAGCACTGGCTGCTCTTGCAGAGGATCCAGGTTCAGCACCCACATGGCTGCTAACAACTGTCTGTAATTCCAGTTTTAGGAGACCTAATGGCCCCTTCTGTCCTCTGCAGGCATTGCGTGACACAGCTGCACTCACATACATGCAGACATAACACTCATACATATAAAATAAAAATAAATAAATCCCAAAAAATTTTTTAAAGATGTACTAGAAAGGATGACAAGATAGGTCAGCAGATAAAGGTATTTGTCAGGCAAGCCTAATGACTTTAGTTTGATCCCTGAGACCCACATAAAGGTTGAAGGAGAGAAACAACCACACAGAGTTGTCGTTTGACCTCCAAAAAGAACATGCTACATGGTTATAGGTTAGCCCTCAAAACGAACAGAAGGGGCAGAACCAAAGCCAAATAATGCCTCAGGAGTATAATTAGGATGCTAATCTGGGTGCCCTAGGTGCTTGATGCTGGCATTTCTCCTTAGTAATGTCCAAAAGGCCCTGAATACTTGGATTCATTGCCTTGGGGATGTCCATTTGAACTTTGATCATGTACCCAAACCTTGTCTACTAAGAAATGGGGAAACAGGGGACTAGAGAGATGACTCAGTATTAAGAGCACTGGTTGCTCTTACAAAGGATCCGGGTTCTATTCCCAGCTACCCATATGGTGACTAACAACCATCCATCCATAACTCCAGTTCCAGAGGCTCTGACACTCTCATCTAGGCCTCATGGGCATTACATACATGCAAGTAAAACACTCATACACATAAAATAAAAATAAATAAATTTTTTTTTTCTGAAAAAAATGGAGAAATGGTGGAGCTTCTAACTCTAGCTCCCTGTGTCCTGCCAAATAGACACTCTTAAATCTGGCCTAAGGTGTGCCTGTTAACCTCATTGCTGTTTCCCACTATGAGCACTCACGTGGTTTCCATGGTACACACTGATCTGACTGAAGACACAAGCTCATTTCTGTCTCCTGATCTTGTTTATATTGTGGAAACCAACTCTTACTATTTTTGGTAGCTATTTATAATGGAGAGCTTTCAAACGTACTATTTCATGCATCTATATCTATCTCATAATTTTGTTAGTTTAACAAAATTCATATTAACTTACAAATGTCTAAAAAAATACCAAACCCATAATAGCATTTTTCAACTTTTTATTCCAGGTAAACGTTTTTGTCCATGTGTTTTGGCACTTTATCAGCCCAGTTCTCTGAGAGTTCTTCTCTCCTCTGAGCACTTGAAATTATTTTCTATAGCGTATTCTTTTTTTTATGTGTATGAGTGTATTGCCTGCATGTATGTAAGTGCACCCCTGTTGTGCAGTGCCCTCAGAGGTCAGAAGAGGGGATCGGATCCCCTGGAACTTAACTTTGGATGGTTGTTAGCTGCCATGTGGTCTCTGGGAATCAAACCCGGGTCCTCTGCAAGAGCAATCAGTGCTCTTAACTGCTGAGCCAACTCTCCAGCCCCAAAATTATTATTTTCTATTAGACTTTTTACAACATACTTGAAGATGGGTGTAATAAGCTTTACCTCATAGGAGTATAACTTTACTTTTGGATCTCTTGTCCTAGTTTAGTGATACAGCAGTGCTTGTGGCTCCCTATCTTTTACACTTGGTCTGGATTGATCTAAAATTTGGGACTGAGAGTGTAGCTCAGAGAGTATCTTGCCTAGCATGTACAAGGCCATGGGTTCAATTCCCAGCATAGTTAAACAATAAAGTAATTTTTAAAATTTCATGTCTTGGTATATAAAATAATTTTTACATCTTATAATGAGAACCCTAATTTAAAGGATAATGTCTTGTAAGGCTTCAGTATATAGAATAGATTGATTTATTTGGAACTTCAGAAACAATTACAAACCAGACTGGAGAGATGGCTCAGTGGTTAAGAGCCTTGACTGCTCTTGCAGAGAACCTGGCTTTGATTTCCAGCACCCACATGGTGGCTAACAACTGTCTGTAACTCCAGTTCCAGGGGATCCGATGCCCTCTTCTGACTTCTTTGGGCACTGCACAGCACAGGTGCACTTACATATGTGCAGGTAATACACTCCTACACAGAAAATAATAAATAAAATATTTTAAAATATAAATCCTGTATGTACTTAGTAGCTGGTTACTTGAAGGAAACCTTTAGACAACCTTTGTGTGCTTGACAAACCAACAATACTCTCATCTCATAACTATGTGTTTTAAATTCAAATGCAATAATTGATCTTATTTTTAAGTTTAGCTTGGAGCTTGATTTTTGTTTACCAAGTAGCTAAGGAATTGGTTGGTTGTAATACTGGATCATAGGTTTCTGAGAAATAATGTTGAGAAAGGGTCCAAGCTTGAAAGTTTCTCAGTAGCACAGTTTTCTTCTTTGTGGAAACCAGAATTTAATTTTAGGGCAAGGTCACCTATTTGATCAACATAAGAAGCAGTAATTTAGGCAAATGCTGGGTGGCCTTTTAATGCTTCCTATTATGCATTGTGTACAAGTACTTTCTAGCCCTCTAGTTCTCTTGTAACAATGCATTCAGCATTTCAGTACAGCAGCAAGGGAGTCAGCTGTGGTCAGGACTTTTCAGATGTGGATACCTGTTGTCTACAAGTTTTATATAAGTCATAAAGTAACCATCACTACCTCCAGCTCAGATCTTGAAGTAAAAATTCACACTTTGAAAACTCAGCGCCCTTCCTTTCCTGATGGTAATGAATGCTTTTCCAGAAGCTTTTATGGGAAGTCTTATTTTGATATATCTACAAAAACTGAATATAAAACAAGTCAGTACTGTAACTTTGATTATAGTCCAGTTAACGATTACTGTTGAAAAACTCCTCCGTGGAGGAGTTCAGGCTGAATACGGTAAAAATACATTGTATGAAATTCTCAAAGAATTAATAAAAATACTTTTAATGTATTCCAGAGCTTTTGAAGGATGTTTGTCACGTCCTGTTTAAGTGTAGCTCTACCCTTTTTCTGTGCTTGACTTCTAGTTATTCCTTTTCTAATAGTAAGCATTCTAAAGGTTTTAATTATTACCCAGTGTCATATCCAGACATATATGAAGGTTTGTGATAATTATTCCTATTCATAGATGGAAAACTGAAGCACACACACAAAAGCAATACTAGGTAAAGACGTTAGTACAAATAAAAGGTGGTTTGGATTCTGAACTGAGTTTAATTCCCTCGTTACTGTTATTACCAAGTTAGTGATACAGGGGAGAAGAGCATCCCCAAGAGGGTTCTTAGTCTCATTCATAAAAGAATTTAAGAATGAACTCAAACAGAAGCTTTAGGACAATTTTACTAGAATTTAAAGAAAAATCCTGAGGGCAGGCAAGCTGTAAATCTTGACAGCTGTTTTAAGGAGAATGGAGGGGTGAAGGAAAAAAGCCATGAAGCCATGCAGGGTTAGAGCCTCGTGGGAGGTCAGAAATGTGGTGGACTGGCAGCCACATGGCAGAGAGAAGGAAGCTTTAGAGAAAAAGCAAAGAAATACAAGATGTTAGGGCAGCCCAAAGCATTAGAGAAAGCATACTTAGAAAAGGGCTGTATATTGTACTTTTTTGAATTTTTCAGAAAAGCAGGCAGACTTACAGAGAGCTCCATGAGTGTAGTTGGGTCCAGGAGCACTGTACTAGGAGGTGGGATTCCAGGCAGGAAAAGTCCACTATCTCATTAATACACTGGACATTCCATCTGTTTAGCATGACTTAAGGTGAATATGCCTTCCTTCCTGGGGTTGGTCCTATAACCAGATTATTGACCAGTGAAACTGGAAAGGTGGCTCTTCCAACAGATAGACTAGAGATTTATTTAATTTTTTTTTTTTGACCAGTTAATTTATGGTGCTTTTTGCTATTCTGAGATTGGTCTTGCCTTGTGAAGTTTTTATACCTGTCTTCTTGTCTCCATTGCTTTTGTTCTGCTTTTGTGGCTCATTTCTTACAAGTCCATGGCCTTCAGCTGGTTTCTATGCTTCTGCTTTCTCAATCTACTTCAGTCCATCTCGGTCCCTTACACTGCCTTTGTAGTATAGCGTCTCTCTATCCTGAACAAGTACAGTCGTGTCAGACCACAGTTGAGTGGCTTTCTGTTGCTTGTTCTGGTGGGTTAAAACTGAATTATTTATTAGGGCCTGTGGGGTTACCTACAGTCTGACTATAATTTCTCCCGTTATTGTGCACTAATTTCAGATTGTAATGGGCTGAATTAACTTACAAATGCCCATGCTACTCTCTTCTTGGGGTATTCTACTGATACAAGGGAAATTGGGATCCCCTCTTAGGGTTCTTAGTCTCACTAACAAAAGAATTTAAGAATGGACCCAAACGAAAGCTTTAGGACAATTTTATTAGCATTTAAAAGATAAACCCCCACAGTAAGTGAGCTGTAAATCTCAGCAGCTGCCTGGAGGAGGAGAATGGAGAAGGAGAAACACCATGCCATTTAAGCTGGCATAATGGCCAGATATGTGGTGAACTAGCAGCCACATAGTTGGAGGGGAGCTTTAGAGTATGGAAACCCATAATATTAGGGAAACTTACACAAGTGTTAAGGAAAGCATGTTTAGAAAAGGAGAGGCTGAGTTTTTATGCAGAAGTGAGAGAATGGGCAGACTTGAAGCTCAATGGCTGCGTCAGGGGCAGGATTCGAGTAGGAAAAAGGACATCAAACCATTACAGAATGGTTCTGCCAGGGCTAGAGAGATGGCTCAGTGGTTAAGAACACTGACTGTTCTTGAAGAGGACCTGGGTTCAAATCCCAGCACCCACATGTCAGCTAACTCCATAACTCCAGTTCCAGGGCATCCGACAGCCTCTTCTGTTCTCTGTGCACATTGTACAATACACATGGGTGCACTTACCTACATGCAGGCAATACACGCATACACATAAAATGAAAATAATAAATAAAATGTTTATAAAAACAGTTCTGTGTAGCTCTTTAGCATGGCTTAAGGTAAGCCTGTCTTTCTAGGGGTGATTGACCCTGTCCAACTGGAATGTAGGTCTCCCTCCACTTAGGCCAGAGATTTTTTTTCTGTTGGCCCTTAACCAGAAGGAGTTTTCTCTTAATGGGCATTTATAACACTACAAGTTTCTTTTGCTCTAGTCAACCCAGTAAGCTTTTACCATCCTTCAGAGTTTAACTATGTCATATTTCAGTTCTCCTCTGAGGTGCTTTTCAGATACCTAGTCAGTTCTTCATGCCTCCCATTATTTTTTGTACTTTCCCATCTATAATGATGGTCTGTTATTTCTTAGTAATTGGGTACACACAAGTTTCTTGAAGATAAACTTACCAGCTTATCTTCATAGCTCTACTTTCATGCATTGTGCCCAGAACATAGAAGGTGATGATTTGGTAATTGTTGAATAAATCAATGTATCAGCGAATGAATGAAGGATCCTTATTGGCCCTGAAAGATGATTTGTTAAATTTGGTACAAGTTAAGAATAAATTAGGCTCCATGTGAGGGACCAATGTATTTCTTCTCGTTAGGTATGCAGTATAGTTTATTACTTAAGTGTTCTTCATTCTTGGACTGGGAGATGTGATTTACCTTGCTGATTTCTGAATAAAGAGCTTTAGTTGTAGGGTATGTGCTTTGAGATTCTGGTTTTTAAATTTTAATTCTAGATTAGAGGTCACTTTGCTTCTTCTTGGTTGAATACTGAATAATTGAGACCGCTGGAAAGCTTACTGTTTACTAATCATAGCAATACTGTACTCACACTGGCTGTGAACAAGGCACTCTGTCATTGCTATGAGATCATGCAGTGAGGTTAGTGGGGTAACTATTTCAGTTAGTAATGGAATCATATTAGAGCAAAGCATCTAACACAGAACACAGAGCATAATGCTCTATAAGGGATGCCACTGTCACATTCTGAATGCTAATATGACAGAAATCCATTTATAGTTGTGCTTTCACGTGTGCCTGTTAAACACTTGAAATGTGGCTAGAGTGAATTGGAATATGGTGGCACTATAAAATGCACAATGGATTTCAAAGACCCAGTACCCAGCCCCGAAATGTAAAGTAGCTCATTATCAATTGTTTTTATGTTCATTACATGTTGCAGTGTTACTATTTTAGATGTGCTGGGTAAAATAAAAACATTGTCAAAAATAGATGAAATTAATGTTTATTATTTAAACGTAGCTATTAGAAGATTTTAAAGTACATGGCTATCAGGCATTGCTGAACTGGACTCTAAGGACTGCGGACCCTCAGTGTAACTTCTTTTTCCTATTAGTTTTGGGTATGGCATTCTAAAATCTGCTACTCACCTACTTTGCCTTGTGTATTAGCCAGTTCACATGGGGGATTAATGTCTACTTTTGATCTTGGTTTGATATGTTAGGATTGACATCTTTTTTTTTTTTAAGTAGAATTTTACATGTCAGTTAATACTGTACTTTGGGAGAAATAGTCAGTGAGAAAAGACCCAGATTTTCTGCCATTTTTATATTGTAGTTCCTGCGTGTGTGTGTGTGTGTGTGTGTGTGTGTGTGTGTGTGTGTGTGTGTGTGTGTGTGTGTGTGTGTGTGTGTGTGTGTGTGTATTTTACAGTTCTGGAAAACAAATCCAAGTCCTCACACATTCTGAAACACTCTAGCACTGAGCCCTCTCCTGCCCCATTTGTGTATTAATAACTCTTTGTTTTTAGAGAAGCAATGATTTCAAAAGCATAAAGTATAGAATACTTATGAGGGTTTCCTATAGTATTATATAATATGAGGCTGAATATTGTTTCCCAGCTCATCTCCTGAATATATTTCAGTCTTTTATAGTATGTATCACTTCTCTTCTTTTCAGAATTGAGTATGATGCATATCGAACTGATTTGGAAGAACTGAATCTTGGACCACGTGATGCAAACACTCTGCCAAAAATTGAGCAGTCACAGCATCTGTTCCAAGCACATAAGGAAAAATATGATAAAATGCGCAATGATGTTTCTATCAAATTGAAATTTCTAGAAGAAAATAAGGTAAATTTATTCTTTGCCTTCTGACATTTTCCTATGGATTTTAAAATCAAGTGGACCCCCCCAAAAGAATTTAATAGACATTATCTTGTTTCTAATAACTTTTTCATGATCATTGTGAAAAGGAATTCCATTTATAATCAGTTTCAGTTTTTAGAAATCTACAAAATATATTTACTTTTCTGTTATGAAACTCAGCCATACTGTTTCAATCTTCTATATATAGCAGTTGGCAACTTTGATTTTCAGATTTAGTGTTGATACTTTAAACAGTTAAATAATGGCAGTAGATCCTGCCAGGTATGGTGGTCCATGCCTGTAATTCCCGCAGTAGGGAGCAGAGGCAGGGGGATTGCTGCAAGTTTAAGACTAGTCTGGTCTACTCAACAAGTTCCCGGTCAGCCAGGGCCACATAGTGAAACCCTGGACCCCCACCCCCCAAAATAGGGGAAGAAATGAAGTAGAAGGTAGAAGTATACCACCTAGTAAGGAGTCTTTTACAGCCAAATGAGATGATAAAGAGCCTGAACTAGCCATCACTTAGCAGTAGAATGGAAAGGTAGGCTTCTTTGCAGTGGAATGATAGAGACTGGAAAATCAAACGGGAAGCTGATTTGGCCAATAGGGATAAGAGTGAAGGATGGGATTTTTTTTTTTTTTTCCCCATTTGACCCAGTTTTTAACTTGAAATGATGACAAAATATTCAAGTGGAAACAGTTGGAAGTAAGTTGACCAGTGTATGTTGGAATTTGAAAAACGGGATCAGAGGTTCAGCAAGAAAGGTTCAAAAGTTGCTGCTTTGAGAATACTGTCTTTTCTTATTTTGTTCTTTTTTACTATAAAATAAACACAGAAAACTTTCTATTCTCAAGGATTTTATGTTCTAAGATTATGTCAGTCTTTGGGGGCTGCTAAGGCAGAGAACCATAGATACATAGTTATAAACAGAAGCTTGTTTCTCACAGCTCTGGAGACTTGGAAGTCTGGAGTGAAGGTATCAGCAGATTCAGGGTCTGGTGAGGACTACTAGCCTCTGGGTCTTTGTTCTTGTGCTTTTACCCCGTAGGAAGGAGGAGTCTATAGAATGGCACTAATCCATTCCCAAGGATTCTATCTCCTTGGAACCTAACGCCTCCAAAGATACTGTTTCCCCCTGTCACCACCTGGGGGTGAGGATTTCAACATGAATTGGGGGGTGGCCCACAAGCATTCAGACCATAGCAAATAACCTAAAATAATCTTTGGTTTTGGTGTTCTACAGCTATCATCCTCTAGATGAACTCAGAACTCAGCTAGGTCTAAAATAAAGTCTGTATGAAACTGATCTTTTAATCTTTTTCACTTAATGGCTCAAATGAGATACCATCAGTCTTTTAATTTACACCTTATCTATGAGTAAAGACTTAGATCTATGAGAGAACTTTTTGGGTTTGTATGGTTAGACAACTTTCACCCTTTTTATTTTTAATAGTGTCAACAAGAGTGACAAAACAAGTTTGAGGCCTAGGAACTGCCTTTCATACCAGTTTGCTTCCTTAACATCTTAAAATTCTTCAAATTTGGAGGTTTTGTTCTTCATTAAAATCTGCTGAATTGATATCTTATACACATATGTAAATACTCTATTTAGGACTTGAATTTTAACAAACTGTAATGTAGTTTTCCTATTTCTTAAATGTTGTATATTGACTTTAAAAGATCATTATTGAATGTGCTCCCTTATAATTTGATGTTTTACAAACCTGGCTTTGTAGTTTTGTGGTCTGTCTTTGTGTGGTTGAGGGTGTTTATTCCCGGTTCCCGTGTTCTGGCTTGTGGAGTATCTTTCCATAGTAACATTTCTCACTAGACTAGCCCCGTGCCACTGAGCTCCATCCCCAGACAGCTATTCTTCTAAATGAAGGCCAAGTGCAAGCCACTAGAGTGGTCGATAAAACAAAAGCAGAAAATACTTGAGTGTGAAACAAAATAATCCTGTGGCCATACCATTAGAGTTAGTGTTTAGTGGGTATTGTGTTTTTGTTTTTATAGCTCCTTTTAAAAAAAAATTGTTATTTTTATTTTATGTGTATGAGTATATTGCCTGCATGTATGTGAATGTACCCATGTCGTGCAATGCCACAGAGGTCAGAAGAGGGCTCTGGACTCCCCTGGAACTGGAGTTAAGGATGGTTCGTAGCCGCCATGTGGGTGCTGGGAATGGAACCCGGGTCCTCTGCAAGAGCAGTCAGTGTTCTTAACCACTGAGCCATCTCTCCAGCCCCATAGCTCCTTTTTAAATTTTTCTTGAGGCAGAACCTGAGTTAGGCTTTTTGTTTTGTTTTAGGAATTGAGGTATTATTCTTAGTCTAGCCTTCCTCCGTTTTGATGTATGAGCAGTAGCAGGGAGACACAGTGCCTGTAGCCTGAGGAGCTGGCCCTTAGGGAACACCCCTGAGCCAAAGCCAGTTCTTGTTTATTACACTGCAGGGAAGAATTTCAGGACCAAGGCTGGGGTATGACTCAGTGATACAGTGTCTCAATGCACAAGCCCTTCTCCCTTCATTCAGTCCCCAGCACAGAGATTTTAAAAGTTTACCCTGACTTATGTGGTAGTGCACACCTGAAATCCCACCCAGCATTTGAGAGGTGGAGGCAGGAGTATCACCACCAGACTGAGGTCAGTCTGTGTCTCATAGTGGGTTTGAGATTAGTCTGAGCTTAAAAAAAACAGAAAACAATTCAGGACCAGAGTAAAGCAGTTATCGAGTTTATTAAATAGAGATAAAAATAGTACATACTTTAGATTTAATTGTGGGTGTGGGATAAAGAAGACTTTTAAATAATGCAATTTGAAATGTTTTGTGGCCTATTTTATGGACAGCTTGTTTGCTTTCAGGATTCAAAATAAAACATAGGCTACGTTAGTAAAAAGTAAACAACATCAACACCATGTTGTATCTGAATAACTTTTGCACCAATAAATGACATCAGAATTTTTAAAAAAAAGTAAACAACATTTCTGGTGCTGTGTGGACTTTGTGAGACTAGGTATTGTTTCTCTCTGCAGGCTTTACTGTTTGTTTCTTTATTTTTTACAACTCTGTATGGCCTGGAACTACACTGTTTAAGATTATTTATCAGGCTGGTGTGTGGCTTAGTGGTAGAGAACTTGTCTAAGTGTGCTTGAGGCCCTGGATTCTAGAAGCCAGCACAAGAAAAGGAAGGGGAGGGAAGGGGAGGGGAGGGGGAAGGAAGAAGGGAAGGGAAGGGAAAAGGGAATAATTACACTTGAAAATGACAATTTTTTCTTTAGGTCTGTGAATATATTGGGGGTAGGAATTAAATGTGCCATGTAATCTAGTAAAACAATTGAGGTGGTGCTGAAGAGATGGCTCAGCAGTTAAGAGCACTGGCTGTTCTTTCAGAAGACCTGTGTTCGAATCCCAGCATTCACATGGCAGCTAACAAACACCCGTAATTCCAGTTCCAGGGATCCGACACCCTCTTCTGTCCTCCATGGGCACTGCATGACATTGGTGCTTTACATATATGCAGGCATAACACTCATACACATAAAATAAAAATAAATAAATCAAAAAAATTTTAAAAACCAATTTGGGGTATGAATAGAAAAAGTAATGTTTTTATTTTGTTTTATTTTTAAAAAGATAAAATTCTTACTCTGTTATTTTTAATTAGCTATAACTATCAAATACATGTTTGTCTTATTATTTTATATTTTAGTGACTTAAAATATGGTTACTGAGGAGAGGGGCTGGTCAGAAGAAAAGTGAACTGGTTCACATATATCCTGGACTTAATTTTAAAATGTAGATTTTTTTTTTTTTCTTAGAAATCATAGTCACTCTGAGTCTTAAGTTGATGTAACAGTGGTTGCTTGTACTCAGGAGTATTTTACATAAGTAGGGCAATACCATTCCTGGATATGAAGATCTCTTCTTCATGCTAGACAAATACTCTCCACTGAGCTTTGTTTCCAGCTCTATAATTTCTCTTCTAATACTAAATATATGATTTATTTTCTAATGCATTAATTAAATCTATTTAACGTATAAATTATTATGAATTTAGTTTTTCAGAGAAAAATTCAAAGGGCCAAATAAAGTGACATGCAGTTCTGTCTTTGTAAACTGTAAGGATTTAGAAAAACTTGGTGGACAAAGTTTTTTTTAAATGTACCAATGACTTAATGGCATAATTGTTTCTATAGCTAGAAGCATGAACATGAGTACTTGGTATACATGCTCATATAGGTCAAGTGAAATTAAATAATAGAAGCAAAAAAGAACCTTACTTGGATCTACATAAAAGCAAATGAGCTTCAATTTGTAAGTGCTTATGAGTGATGCAGAGCACAAAAGAAAGTCTCAGCACTGCCCAGACATGACTGCTGACATGTGGATCCTCTGAAACATCCCTTATTCATGCATCTTTGCTTTTGAGCATATTTCATTGTACAGTTTGAGCTAATTTTGTGTCTCTATTATTCTTTGCTTTTCATTTAACACACAGTGCATATATAGTATGCAGGTACAGGGAAGTGTTCCAGGTATTGTTGATACCCAGTAAAGGAATGCAAATATAAACTCCGCCTTCAAAGTACTTTATAGCCTTATGTGAGAAACAGACTTAGATCACACATACCCATGTGCCTTTATGTGTGTATGTGTGTGTGTGCATATGCGTGCCTGTGTACACACGTATTTGTGATAGAGGTATCTATATGTGTATACCTACATATATGAAATTTTGTCTATGACTGCTGCTAGACCTGCCCAGCAAAGGCACATTTTCAGTTTAGAGTAGTTGGAAGTGTTTGTGAAGAAGTAATGTTGAACACTAATTGGGAGGCAGGTAGAAAGAACAGCATGTATTTAACAACCCTGTGGCAGCGGAAGTATAGAATGTTCAAAGAGTAAATGTGACTGACTGTAGCACAGAAAGAAGGCTAGAGAGGGGACAGATCATGTAGGCGTTCCAGTCCACTCTAATGAAAGGT